AGTATAACTAATGTCATCAATGAATTTTTCATAGAACACTATCAAAATGAATATAAAGTTAGAATGATACTCTTGAAAATAGTTTATGGTTAAGTCGCTTAGAGCTAAACTTTAATAGCATTGCCTACAAATGAACTTATCATAGAAAACTAAAGAGTTTATCACAGAAATGTTAAACTTTGAACAATACATAACATTGCCAACAACCTGATGTGAAAAATGAATTATGAGAATGATTCGAAAGAGATGCCAACAAATCATCTGATGAAATCAAATAACAACAAAATAGGCCGAACACAACGGAATATTACCATCATTGCGGGATTTGAGAAAACGATTCCGTACAAACGTATCAAATAAGGATGTTGCAGTTTTTGCATGTTATTCACTTCGGTCTGCAAATCTTCAATCACCTCCGCGGTTGCGTCTCGTAGGATTTTAACCGCAACGTCCACTTTCGTGCCATCACTCCGTGTCCAAATGGCTCGTTTCACGATCGCAAACGAACCTTCGCCAAGTCGTTCCATTAATTTGATCTATTTTATTCGGCTTATCAATCAAACGATATAATCCCAAACATAACAATAACGAAATAAAATGACCGACCACTCGGGAGACCTCCGATAAGATGGAAAGACGATATTACAAAGAAATTGGGTAACACCTGGCAAAGGAAAGCAAGATCAAGGACCGAATGGAAACGCATTGTGGCCAGCAATGTTACAAACGTTTGATAGCCTGGCTAATCCAGGTAATCCAGGCATAACAATAACATCTAGTCAAGCAAATAATAGTTGTCGTCTTTACGCCATGAAAGTACGAGCAAAAGAACAATGTATCCAATTAAACCTGAGACTCTCATCATTCATTTTTTATTGTTAACGATTAATCCATTAGGATATTTCCCTTTCCACGATTCAAACAATTGTATTTTCACACCCAGATTCAAATATTATTCGCCTTCATCAGTTATTAATCCCTCGGCTTTCTCAATTAATTACGATCTTTCAAAACAACAAACTACTCGGTAAATTCGACCAAACCAATAATCTGGTTTATTGCTCAGCAAAGAAGAATAGCTTACCTGATCTTTAGTGATCAGGCATGTTGCATCTTGTTCACTCGTCTGCGCTACAGGATTCGTTGAAGGTATAGTTGTGGATGGAACGAACACTTTATTTTTGTTATCACGATCCTCTTTACGACCCAACGTTGAAAATAGACCTTTTGCTTTCTTTTGCTTTTTCTTCTTCTCGGCTATTGCTGACCTCAGTCGCCTTATGGCCGGTTGTGATAAACCCGTGTACGACTGGAAAATGATGCTTTAGAAACAACTAATAATCTTCGATTAGAATGAAAAAATTAGCTAGTAAAAAAGGTTCACACAAATTTAGACGAACTTAGCTAACATATGTGATGAATTGGCTGAGATTTAGAAACATGTTATAAATTTCATAGGCTTTGGAGCATCCATATCATAATGAACTTTACTTGTCAGTGATAAAATTATTAGCGCTATAAAATTCCGAAGCAATGCACTGTTTATGAAAAATCCTTTGTAACACACAATCAAGTAATTCAAGATAATTATTCTCAGACAGACATGAAACTTCCCGGGAGAAGA